ATAAATCAAATTTATCCAAATATTGGGGTACCAAGCCTAATTTTTCCTATAAAATGATGCATCATGGGCTCGAAAAAAAGTTAATTCGGATAATTTAGATCCAAAATGTTGCTTTCTTTAATTAATAATTAATTAAGTTGATTATTAATTTATAAAGATTGACAGCGTACGCGTGTTTAGATAAATATAAACTAATCCTTTTATTTGATTATGATTTGTAATTTAACTAAAACTGCACTTAGTCTAATTTAGTTGAATTGAAATAGCTATGTCCCACTTTTATTGGGAAAATAATCCTATTTATTATCTCTCAATTTAGTTTTCGGCCAATTGGATGATTATGATTGATTTAAGCACAATCCGAATATTGAAATCTATTCCTATCAAATTTTTACTTGTGGTCCATGTCTCCTACTTTTGATTGCATACAAACTCAATTGTGAATATTCATTTCAACTATAAACACTTCATGAAGTCCCATTATTTATCACAAATAATAGAGAAAGCCATTGCAGAGAGAGGAAAGAAAAGGTATAGAAAAATAATAGGAGAATTTTTATGTGCAAGATTTTATCTTCTTTTCAACCTTTTAATAGCGCGGTAAGATACATATCGTGCAAGTAATTTGTTTTCTTATACTTTTATATATTAAATGATATATGCATGAATTGTTAGTGGATATTCGAGTTCAATCTAACGAAATGTGAATTCTTTTGGTTCTTTATAAACAAAATGCAAAATCCTTGGGGGATTCGAAATAAAGATGTGATTAATGCCTCGCTCGATCACCGAGAGGATTTGAAGAAAATAATCATTAAGTTTTCTATTTTTCAATTGATTACTCAGTTTTAATTTGTTTAAAGACATGTTTATTTAATAGTTAGGTGATTATGTTTATTTTCAAAGAAATATAAACTCTATATTTTGATTGTAATTTATTATTAAATATTTTTTATTTTTATCGTTTACGCATTAATGTGAAAAATTTTAAATTTTTAGTAACACTCTATGATTTATGAAAATTGAGGAGCTACAGTTTGATATCAAAGCACAGATCTACCTTTCTGTAGACGTTTTAATGTAACTGATATCGTTGATAATCATACTTGATGAAAATTGGGTGTTACAATTTGGTAAATGAAAATTTGAGGTGTTACCGATATTATTTCATAGATTATACTTGATGCAGAAATAATTAATCGAAAATTTTAAATTTAACTTATTCAAAATTTCATAAATCGAAATAAATCAGTTTGAAAACATTAAATAAAAAAACTTAGAACATTTATTATAAATTTAAGAAACATTAAATATCTTGAGAAAAATTAATTAGTAATTATTTTCTTAAAATTTTTTACTTGACAACCCACATATCCTTCAAGCACAATCCATGTTTGACCGATTTAACCTGAAAAGTTAAAATTTGAAGGAATAAATATTTTGAACTCTGTAGGATATGTACCGTCTAAAACAATAGAATAAATTTTAGACGTAAATTACGACAATTCCATACCACCACTTCATTGAGAGCGGTAGGAGATCAATCAGATATTCTGACACATTTTTGTGTAAATAATAAATTTTTTTTAAAGAAAATCTCACATTATTTCATTAATGACCCGTAGGTCATTTAGCATTTCATGCATAAAGTTATGTAAAACAAACAACATTGCAAGGACAGTTCAACTTGCACATAGTATCATACCTTCAATTAATCAAGCAATTTGCTATAGGATTAAAATATAAGTTGCGCATATAATTTTTTAATAGAATTTTGAAAGAGAGTGTGTGGCTTATGTTTTCTTTAAAAATAAATGAACGAAAAAGAAGAACAACAAGATTATTATATAAGAGAATAGGGTTGGATATGGTCCGATTTGGTTCGGTTCTCTAAAGAGAACGGAACTAAACCTAAAATTTTCGGGTATTTAGTAAGTGGAATCATCATATTCAAATTTAATTATGGAACCACTCAGGTTCGGTTCCATTCAGTTCTCAAGTTCCGTATTATAATTAAATTTTTTAATATTTGCATTAATTCAACTAATGATATGTTCAATTTTAACCTTACAAAATAACGTAGTCCAATCTTATGTGTCTTTTGCATCTCTCTTTGAGTTTTTCATAGATTTGATTGTTAAAATCACAAGAAGAAGAAGATAGCAAGTTCACAATAATTAAAAGAGGCGTTGTCGAGTTTCAATTTGATTTCTCCAGAACGGTAGAAACACCACTATAGTAGAGTAACAGATTTAGATCAAATTTTGGTCAATTTGATTAAGTTGACTTTGAACTGAAAATTAGAAATAGAAAAATCATATTTTTGGATTTGAACTAAATTAACTAATTAGCAAATTTATTTAGAAAAATAAAATAATTTGGCTCATATAATATAAATTAATTTAAGAAATTATGGAGATTCGGTTCTTCGATTCTTGATCTAGAATCGAATCGAACCCGTCGGTTCCAGATTCAAATACCTGTTCAGGTATTTAACTTAAAAAGAATCACTCAGTTCGATTCGATTCAATTCGGGAGTTTTGTTCAGTTCTATAAGAGAATTTCTTTGGATTTTAAATTTAAATATTCAATTTTTTTAATCCGTATCTACGATCACTTCAAAAAAACAAACATATGGCAGACGAAAACAGAATTTGGCAGAATTTTAAATGGCAAAACCTCTTTATCTATCTACACACATCACATGGCAAAGAAAATATATCACATGAAAAGATGAGGGAAAATAGAATTTGTTTAAATTGGTTAATTGAAAATAGGGATGACAATTTGAACCGTCAAAATCGAAAATCACGGTTAATCGAACCGAATGAGGCGAAAAAAATCGAATCAATGGTACAATGGGGCGGATATAGTATTTGATTTTAATAAATCGGTTCGTGGCGGTGCGGATATGGTATTTACGCCGTCGAACCAAAACCGAACCAATTATCAGCTAAAAAAAAAAACAATTGAATTGATTATTGGACTTTACACTATTTTTCTATCCAATCCAAAATAAAATTCCTCCATTACATCTACTTGACCTAGCCGGCTAGCCCACTTACCATTAGCCCATAATAATAGTATTAGTATGGCAGTATATAAATGCAAACCCTACTTTCCACAAACCACAAACTCACGCACGGCTCCACTACCTCCACGGCCCAAGTCGTCGTCGCCTTTAGAAAATTTTCCACACGACTTCATTTTGAATCAGATTGGACTTCAAATTTTAAAGAAAAGACAGGACCTCAGGCGAGGGGTCTTCTTAATCAAGATTATTGGAACAAAAATTTTATCTCAAACATTTTGGTTGTATCTGTAAGCTGATTGCATTTTATATCCAATTCCAGGGACGCTTTTTCAAGATTTGATGCAAAAATTGTTTCAAATTTTTCCGAAAAGAGGATAAATTCAATCAGTACCGATTATAGTATAGATTTGAGCCAAGTCCGAGACGTGGTTGAATACAATATATTGTGTTTTTGTTTTCATTAACTTTTTTCAAAAATTGTTTTATATCCATTTGACGGATGAACATATAAAAAATAATTTATTTTCGTGGTTATTAATCGAACCGAATCGTACCGAACCGAACCGATTTACGTGGTTATAGTGCGGTTATGGCATGGCCAAAAAATTGGTGGTTCGGTTATAGTTTTGGCCAAACCGGCCCATAACCGAACTGTTGCCAACCCTAATTGAAAATAACAATTATGATATATCAAATCTTTTTTTTAATTAAAGATAATATGAATTATATGATATACATTAATGTAAAAATAAAAATAAAAAATATATCCGTTACGGGTCCCACACAAGAGATAAAAAATCAAATATGATTGTTTGAGGCGTGGATAACGGTCATATTTTTCATTTTAATGCACAAATAATGAAAAACAAATAGGGGCATAATATTATTCTTATCGTAAAAGGTATATTATTAAGTAATAAAATAATAAATATTAAATATATTTCTCTGAATTGAAATAATTTGGGCTTAACTTAAGGGAACTTACATTTCCTTGGGCCCAACATAATTATTTAATGCGAGTTGTAAAATGAGCCTAATATTGATAGGAAAAATTTCATAAGTAAGATATTAAGTATGACATATTTCAAAATAAGAAAATTAGTTTCAAACTTCAAAAATTAAATTTTTATTAAAATTTATTTATTATTAAATTATTTATTTATTTTATTAATTAAAAAAATTTAAGTCACATATCTATAAAATTTGGTCACGAATTAATAATATTATTTTTTGATCACAAATCAGAAATTTTATGTCAAAAATTATTTTACGATTAAAAATCCAAAAATTTGTAGGTCACAATTTGTTCATCAGTCAAAAATAAAAAAATTAATTAGTCACGGATTAGTTTTTAGTCACAACTTATCAAATTATCGGTCACAACTTGTTTTTCGATCACAAATCAAAAAATTTATAGGTCACTTATTATTTTTAATCACGAATAAAAGAATTTGTAGATCACAGATCACAAATATTATAGGTTACAATTTATTAGACAGTCACAAATTATTAATTTTTTAGGTCACACATTATTCCTTGATCACAATTGATCTTTTTCATATTATTTATTGGACACAGATTAACCAATTCAATGATCACAGTTAACCAAATAATCTGTGACCAACACTTGTGACTACGACGACCAAAACCACCGTCGACCACCATTGCTAGATCCATCGCGACAAGCAACACCTTCGCCTACACTACCAACAAAAACCATCACAAACCTCCAACAACACCTAGCACCAAGGTAACCCATCAACACCGCACCCAATTTTTTTTTTTTTTTAAACAAAATTTGTTTCTTTATTCATGAAAAATTAAAAACAGGTATTGAAATTTTTTTTGCATAACACCACAGATTTCAAACATCAAGTGATTTAACAAAAGTTGAAGGTCACAGAAGTAGATATCTATAAATGAGCATTTAAATTCCAGAGTTTAATAAGTGCAGCTACAGGCAAAGTCATGGCCAGTAAGAGTAGATAAAACATGGAATTTTCAGTATCTGTACTCCATCTTCTCCTTTTCCCAATACCACTGCACATAGGAGCATGTTCCGACGAGAGGGCTAAGGAGAAGGGTAGCACTGGTCCAATTTTCAGAGATCTTGTGGTGGATCTTACTAGGCAGATCCTTCCGGAGGCCCAGCATCACCTTCTGCGGGAATAGAGGCAAGGTGTAAACCACCGCCTTCATTCTCACCAATTGCTTACCCATCACTTTTTTTAGAATCCACAGTAGTTTCTGGCAAAGAGAAGGAGATAATAGAGAGAGAGAGAGAGAGAGAGAGAGAGAGAGAGTCGAGCTTCTAGTGAATAGAGAGAAAGGGAATTAAGATTGGTATAATTAGGGTTTGAAGTTGTTTTACTTAATTAATTTTTAAATATATTAATTAATTAAAAAAATTCTGATTTGTGAAATACTAAATATAACATCTCATTTATGAAATGAGAATTTTTAATCTATTAGAATCTGTAATTTTCACATATTGATATACTTTTTTCCTTCTCCTACAATACTTAAATATTTAGTCCAAATAAAATAAAATAAATGGATTGGGCAATCATAATATCTTATGGACTTTAATGTGATTGAAAAAGCTAAGATGCAAGTGTGTTTCTATTTTCTAAAACGTTCAAGGATAATTTAATAAAATTAAGTCCCTCTATTTTTAAAACACATAAAAATTATTCGAAGTGTTACAGTTATTATTGCTTTCAATGAATCATTTTTAAAATGTTATCAACCCACGAAAGACATACCACATAAAAATATGAACTTTGTTATTTGTACATTCGGGATTGACATCCCGGATGACACCTCTCTCATAAGAGGAAGCCCACACATAATAAAATAATTGTGGGTCCCCCTCTCTTGTGAGGGAGGTATCATCTAGGGTTCAACCCTGAATGTACAAATAGCAAAATCGAAAAAATTATTGTCAGAAAGTGAAGTGTTTTAAGGGGAATTTGGCCCATTAATCTAACTAGACAATGTTTTTGGTTAAATGACATTTGACCAATAATAAAAATAAATAGAAAATTGTAAAATATTTTAGTTAGCAAAATGACAAAATTATCCTTCAGTTGTAAACTTAATATCTTTCAATTTTTTCATTTCATCCCGTCATTTCTCCTCCACCTTCCTAATTTCTTTTTGTTTTTCTTTTTTTTTGGTGAAAATAACGTCTTCTTCCCCTTTCATCTTCTTCAATGTTAAGTCTTCAAAATTACAATAACCTATTTTCTTCTCTTCAACCACCATTCTTACTATCCTAAAATTATGTTTTTTTTTTATTATATTCTCACTTATTTTGGTATCTTTTTAGTATTTGAACAAGAGTTGGATTATCATATCATTTACATTGAAAAATTACATTTAAATTTGAAGAAAGGAGAAAGATGCTCTTAGAAATCGCATCTATGTTATATTATTGTTATTAAATATAGTATAAAATAATATTTAATTGATATTATTTTCGTATTTAGTGTGCTTCTTGTGTTCTTTACAATCATTGGATGTAATAACACTCCAACTGCTATCTGAAATATAGAACTCTACTCCAATCGTTATCTGTAAAGCAAAACGACACTGCAGTCGTTATTTGCTGTAATTTGATTTTTTCAATAAAATGCCTCTAATAATGGACTCACTAAAGTATATATTACAAAAAGATTCACTAGTCACAAAGAACGATTGAAATGATATAATTTTTATATTATTGAGATGGTGAAAATACAAGTCATCACAATTATATGTGTCGATTAAATTAATGAACATATTTATCAACTTTTGTACGTATCATGTACATATTACAATATACATAAGTTCTGCTCATTATTTTTCAGGGAACAAATGGACCGTGACTGCTTGTACTCGTATTTATACATGTAACAGTAAAAGTGTAGTTTTCATGTCCAGTAACGACACTTGTGTCATTCTGAAATTCATCTATATCCTGAAATTCACCTATATACGATTTTTTCAACAAAACAACATTTAATAATGGACCCCTTAACATATGTAATACTAGTCGCTATCATGTGCGTTACACGAATTTTGCATTTATCGTATTTTTATTAGTGTATGAATTTTAGTTTTTTTGGAAAGTTTTTGAAACAGTATCTAAAAATATTTTCATAATATAAGAAAATAATTGTAAATTATTTTTACAATTGCATAGCAGTATGTTGTCAAGAAAAAATATGCTTATATATTTCATGCTTGAATAAGAAATATACAAACTATTTTGCTTGTATTCTTTGATAGTGTTGATATGATCGAATTGAATGTGAAGATTATATTTCTAAATTTTGTGTAATTCAATATTACAAAATTGAAAAAAAAACTCTCCGTACAGCGCGGAAAAAGTTGAACCAATTGCAGAGTAAAAATAAAAAAAGGTGCAAATAGCAAAAACCCCTCCGCACAGTGCGGAGAGATAACAAATCAACTCTCAGGACAGTATGAAGAGCAAAAAAAAAAACTCTCCGCATTGTGCGGAGAGAGTTAATTTCTTCACACAGTGCGGAGAGTTGGTCCGCACCATAGCAAAACTCTCCGCACAGTGCGGAGAGAAAAAAACTCTCTGGCATAGATTGTTGAACCATGTGCGAAGAGAAAAAAACCTCTCCGCACAGTGCGAAGAGAGTTGAACCATGTGTGAAGAGTTGGCAAACTCTTTGCACACTGCGGAGTAAAAAAAAACTCTCCGCACAATGTGGAGAGATGACAAAGCAGCGAGAGCTTTTCACACGGTACAGAGAGAGAAAAACTCTTCGCACAGTGCGGAGAGTTGTTTTCAAATTCCATAATTACAAGTCAAATTTCAAGATTGTAAATTTTTCGTATATACAACGAAACAAAGTCGAAAAACATGGCTCAAAATCAATAATATCATCTTTAAATTCCAGTCACAACTCAATTTCTGAGCATGCAAATCATATTTACGGTATTGGAAAGGAGATTTCTCGTTATTCATACAGTGAAACAATATGTGAGTTGTACAAAGAAGAGAATATTGATAGTACCATGACATTACTTTCACAAATGGAGGCTCTAGAGTACCACCCAAATTCAATATTTTACATTTGCTTGATAACAGCTCTTGAACATTAGAAGCGCATACAATTTTCAATGAAATTATACTTTTGGGTTGTAGGCCAGAAATTAAAGTTTTCAATGCATTGCTCAAAAGTTGTTTGAAAAAAGGCCTCTTAGAACTTGCAGATAAAGTCCCAAGAGTTTTTGTTTTACTCTTCACACTGTGCGGAGAGATAGTTTGTCATCTCTCTGCACTTTGCGAAGTCTTTTTTTTGTGCTCATGTGCAGAGACTTTTTTTGTCTCATAGAGTTTATATATACTAAATTTTTTTTTAATGTTGTTGGCATGATGTGTGTAAAAGAATATTTGTTAATTACCATAAACAAAGTTCTTCACAAAATGTAAAAAATAAAAATGCATAATAAATCTTCTTATTATGCTAATAAATTTACAAATTTTTTTTTTTTTTTACAAATAACATAAAAAAATCATTTTTATTTTCAACAAAAAGCACATTTAAAAATTAGCAATTTCATAACCACTTTTTTTTTTAATTCTCAATAATACAATTATAAAAAAGGAAACAACGTTGAATTACAACATTTAATACTTAAGAAATTTAATATTAAATAAATTTTATACATTTATAACAAATTATAATTCCAAAAATGCAGCTTACAGTATTTGCAGGCAGCTTATCGTATATATAGCTTATCGTATATGATGCCTACCGTATTTGTAAACAACTTACCGTATTTGCACCTTACCGTATATGCTGCCTACCATATTTGTAACTTACCGTATTTACAGCTTACCGTATTTGCAAACAACTTATCGTATTTTCACCTTACCGTATTTGCAGTTTACTGTATTTTTATATATCGATTTTTGCACTTACAAATACTAAGAATGCAGAACACCATACATTCACTTACCAAACCGAATTTCAAAAAAATTCAGATTTTTATTTTTCAACATAAGCATAAAATAAATATTAAATATATAAGAAGCACAAAATATGGTGCTCAATCTTCAATTTTTCAATATTAAATTACAAAAAAATTTAGAAATATAATATTCACATTCAACTCAATTATATCAACACTATCAAAAAATATAAGCAAAAATAATTTATATAATCTCGTATATTTCTTATTCAAATATGAAATATAGAAGTATATTTTTTCTAGATGACACAATACTGTTATGCAATTGTAAAAATAATTTGCAACTATTTTTTTATATCATGGAAATATTTCTAGATATTGTTTCAAAAACTTTCCAAAAAACTAAAATTCATACACTAATAAAAATACGATAAATGCAAAATTCGTGCAGCGCATGTGAAGTCACTGTGCGGAGAGTTTTTTTTTAACTTCGTACTGTACGAAGATTTTGCCAATTCTTTGCACTGTGTGAAGTTTTTTTTCTTTTTTTTACTCCGTACTGTACGAAGAGTCTGCACTTTATGAGGACATTGTCTGCACAGATTGTGCAGACTTTCCGCACAGAATGTCATCTCTCCTCACTGTGCGGAGAGTTTTTTTTTTACTTCCACTGTACGGAGAGTTTGCCAACTCTCCGCACATGATTTGTCATCTCTCCGCACTATGCAGATAGTTTTTTCTTCCTTTTTTACTCCACACATGGTTTGCCATCTCTCTGCACTGTGCAGAGAGTTTTATTTTTATTTTTTTTAAAGCTCATGTGCGAATTTTTTTTTTTTGCTCATGGCAGTTTATATTTACTTAAATTATTATTATTTTTTTAATACTAATAACATGATGTGTGGAAGAACATTTGTTTGACATAATTATTTTTTTAATGCTAGTGGCATGATGTGTGGAAGAACATTTGTTTGACATAAACAAAATGGAAAATTAAAAATGGCATCATGCATAATAAAATTGGATTCATTTACTATTATATCAATAGTAGACCCTCATTTCCCTTTTTATTAAAAGTTAGATAAAAAGTTTGACAATATCATAAATAACGTAAATGAGTTCCACTATTGGTTCCTGAGGCATAGATAAGACATAAATGCTTTTACTCGTGTTTGCACATATAGCCTTTGTTTGAGTCTCATTTTTTCATCAAAACACATTCTGGAACAGTAATTTGATCTCACTTTAACATCACGTTCTTAAATAAAATAATATTACATTCAAAC